GCTGAGGGAATATTATCGTGGGACACTAAGAAGAATGGATTGTGAGGCCCAGGTCGACGCGTCGAGGACCGCTCAATCTGCCCACCCAAGAGACCCAAGAGACCCATATCCATGTGCGAATTCCCCAGTGGTCCCAAACTTTAATAGACGAGGGAAGAGGAAGACGGCTCTAAGTAGCAGTCTAGCTAGGTAGTCTAGTGGAAGGCTGGTCTCGTGGAGTCGGCGAAGCGAAGCTCACCCGCCGGTTCACTTTGTGGGATCCGCAGCAATCCGCGGGCCCCGTCGGCTCCTGCGCGACGCATTGAAATCAGTGCAGTGCAAGAATTGCTATCACTCATAGAGCTTAGTCTCACTGTTCGTCTCCGTTTTCTCCCATGTGCTTTCCAGCCTTATTCGATGGGCGAAAAATGGGCCTCCCATCGCCCTCCAGGCAGCTAGTTTCCGATCTTGAGTCCTCATGCCCCGTCCCACGGCCTCGGAGCCCCAGTGTCGTGCCCAATATGACCTACGCATTCGGGGCACTTGAGTAAGCTGCAGAGCTATTGCGATGAAGAGGGAGGTGTGTTCCAACCACATGTTTCGTCCTGGACCACGAAGTACTGACCACGCACGCACTCAGTCAGTCACTCACTGAATGCTCGGTCGTCGGCTCTAGGCCTCGGCTCACAGGCTTGATACGCCCTAGAATGTCTTCGAGCGTGGGCGTTAACCCTCTTCTCTCTCCAGCCGATATAAACCCATGGAACATTTTCAAACGATGCCATCCCAGAATTGGCACCGCTTCCGTTCAAGTTAGATGAAGCTTTGGGGGCAAATGTATTGTATAGAGTGTGGATGCACGAAACCTGGGATGCTGAGAGGGAGACGATCAAACTCCAAACTCAATTTGCATAGCATCGGCCGGCTCCGAGAGAGAGAGAGAGAGAGAATGCGAGAGCGATTCCAGAACAACGCTGGACGGCTTGAAGAGTGAGTGCGGGCAGAAGAGTCGTTCCGGTTGCTAAACTCGGATACATACTATGTAATTTGTGCTCAATAGTTGCTCAGTTTAGTTCTCGTGTGCGAAGTATAATCAGCGACCATGCGGCTACACCAGGTCGTCACCTTCTTGAGGATGTGATCGATGACCTTCTACTGCTACCTAACTACTCGTCTCAGCCTCCGTATATGGATAGGTGAACCCACGGGCGACTTGAACTCACCCCCAAGGGCCTAAGGGTAAGGTTACAGAAGATAGCCTTTACTTAAGCGCGTGGGACGTGTTAATCATCTGAGCTTAAACCCAAGCATCTTGGACCAAAAATAGGGGACCTACCTGATCTGGGATATCTCGACGAAACTGATGAACTGATGTTCTCCAGTCACTCAGCATGCAGCATTCGCCGCGAGGCTGTCTCAAACCCAAAAAGAAAAAGGGGCAAGAAGGAGGGTTCGGCAGATTCCGCATAGCCCCAACCCGCGTCAAACATGCGGGACAATTTTTGGTGCCCAGGAAACTCTGAGTGAGCGGGTTGGTTGCCTGAAGTTTGTTAACAACCGCAGGCACACAGGAACCCCCTTCCAATTGATGCGTTTTAACGTGGAAACTGCTCTTTTGAGGCACTTACCACGACACATGCTGTGCAAGCAACAAATGTTACTTTATTATTGCAGCCCACCATTCCCTAAAGTTCCGACTGAAAAATAGGCTTATCCCCCTTCCCCCCTGCCGTGAAACGCGTGTATGTGCATAACAACTCGTCCCGCGTCAACCTTGCCGGAGTCGCAAGTGACAGCCTCGGAAGAACAACTGAATCAGATGTGATGCATTCGGGGTGGGATGCTTGTTTCCGCGGGTGTGGTCTCGTTGCTATGTGGGTTTGCTTTCCAAACCCAAACCAAACCCATAGTGCAGTTTGGCCCCTAGCGTTCGTTTCAATGTTTGTGAGTTTGTAAGGGATGATTCAGCCAGTGTGTCTTCGGCAATGGTAGTGTTTTCGGCCACCCGACGGAGATATCCCGAGATCAGCTTGATGGAGATTGACAATGATGCGCGCGCCGATCATCCCAACGCTCTCCAACGCTCCCAGCTTTGACCGCTCAGAGCGACAATCCCAGATTACATAGTCGCCGGGAATACTACTGCATGCTGCTTAGTGGCGGATATCGATACTTGTGGCGCCCTCCCCTGACAACTAGTTGATTACCTTTCTTTAATAATAGTAACCATGATGGAATGATTCGCACTGGTCAATCGGGCCATCTTTGCCCGGCGAGACGGTTCATTCAACAATAGCCACGAGTCAGTATTGTTTAGCTTCTATCCCAGACATTCTGCTGCTGTACCAGTAGTGTCTTACTCGGTACCATTATTCCACAACCATTGATTCCCTCCCGACCAGTGTCGCTTACAATAATAGCCGGCATCACTATAACCATGGCATCCGGAACTCAAGTTGAGTGCTTTGGAAGTTTACTTGATAGCCAAGAGCAAACCACCGACCAGCGACAGTGGTATCCATCAGCCACTGACGGAGTTTCCCTCGCCTGTTTCATTTATTCCGGGGCCCAGATCCATGATGTCCAGTTTCTAGCCCCGTCGCTGGAGAGCCTACGTATAGGAACCAAGGAGAGGCGGGCGGTACGGTCGTCGATCAAACTCAAAGCGCAGAGGTTGGCGCCGGTTTCAGGATTCGCAACCCACGGGTGTCGGTAGTTAGGGTAGACCTCGCTTCGTTTCCAGCTTCGCTTACGGGAAGAGGGGGGGGCATTGGTGCCTGAGGCACTAGAAGTGAGGGACGAGCACAGTTCCAGTGACCCGGCATGGCGTCTACCTTCTGCGTAGTACGTACGTACTGTACCCATCATTCCTTGCACATTTCCATAGTACTCAGTAATCCTGTCGCACCAACACACAAATGTGCGATTGTTGTTAACTACTCCGTAGGAGATGCCTTTTTGCTTTTTCAAGCATGTCCTCCCTCCGACCTCCGATCTCTCGTATTCCTGCAACCTCACAGTCACAGCAGCCAGCTGATCTACGACCACCCGCAAGTGCCCTTTGTAGGGATCATGGATGCCATTCCGCATGCAGTGAGCAAAAATCATGCTGGGCTTGGGGTGTGACGGCTTGAGCCGTCCCATTCCTTCCCTCCGTCCCTTGATCCTCCTACCCGTATAATTTGCTCCAACTATACTCCGTAGATCGCAACCTCATTGCTACAAACCGAGAGGTGGGAAAATAAGAAAGTGAAATCTAGAATCCGAAAGTCTGACAGACCTGACAGATGTCACTGGAGAGCTTCGAGTGCGCTCGTGATCGATGGTCCGACAGCCTGTGATTGGAGGTATCGCCAACTGGAACAAACGATCTACCGATACTCTCAATCAGCCGGCAGGAATGACGGCTTTCAGCTTGTCTAGAACCAGCATCTCCCCCGAGCGCCACGTTGGCTAGTCAAGGCGGCGTCGAGCGCAGATCGTCATCAGGAAACCCAGCTAGGGAGACGGTGGGGTTCGTGGGGAACGAACGGGACCAGCCAGGCAGCCAGGCAGCCAGGGGCGTGGTTGCTGGTTGCTGGTTGCTCGGGGCTCTATAGATGAAATCGCTGGAAGGGAAAGGTGGGAATGATACCTTGGTTCTCAGACTTGACTTCTTTTCCGATGCTGTGCGATCAAGATGTGTGATCTTTGATGGTGGTCTGTGTACGGAAGTATATACAGTAGCCTGTAAGGTAGAGTCAAGTTACCTGTGGGATGGGAACAAGGGGTTGTGTGGGCGACGACGGCGGCGGCGGCGGGTATGAGACCCGGAAGGTCTCAGCCTGGTTCTGGTTTAGTCACGGCACACGCAGTTGCAAGTTGCCGCCCCGGCGCCCCCCTGACCTGACCTGACCTGACCTAAACGAAAAAGAAAAAATGCCGACCGGCCGATGAGAATCTCCCCTTGTTTTTTTTTTTTTTTTCCTTTTCTTTTTTGCTAAGAACTGCTGGAGCGGGCGTTCGGTCGATCCAGGCCCAATGCAGACTAGAGGCGGTCCTAGCGGCCTTTCTGGAGTTCTGGACCCTAGTCATTTCACGTGGCAGACGTCGGCTCCGCCTGCAGCATCGGCCGGCCCTTCCCGAGTTTGGCACAAAAGCCGATGCACTATCGAAGACGCTTACCCTCTGACAAGCCTACAGTAGTGTGGTTACTAGCGGTATTATTGTTCGAGTCTCCAATTTCCACTCTCGCTCGCGCACGCACACACAGATTACTTGCAATTAACTTCTCCAAGCCTCCAACTTGTGGAAGGCCCTGGACTTGGTAATCTATGAGTATGTGAGGAGCTTTAAAGTAAGTAGCCTCAAAATCTCCCATTTCAGTTCAAATTAACCCATTGGATCTTACATCACGTCGTGCCTACGTACATGGATTAATCAAAAGTAGTTACTTAGTAGATGTATGTACTAAATTAGCAGAGTTTAACCCCCCAGCTCTTGCACATGTCTCCGAGTACGCCACATAAGTCAAATTAGGGCTGGGCGGCACCAACCCGTCACATTACTCCGGAATATTAAGTGTTTGTTATATGCATCTTCCCCTTCTCAGCCGGACGAAAAGGAGACGATCATCTATACATAGTAATTCTAACCTGCATCATTAACTAACTTCTGATTCGATAAGGTATTGGCCCTTGCCTTCTGATCACTTGATCTTCCATTGCTTGGTCTTTGAATAAGCAACAAATTCTAGGGGATCAAGATTAGGGTCAATGATGTAGGTGACATTCGATGACAGCCTGCAGGAAGGGCGGTGACGGGCCGGGCAAAAGAAGTGAGCATGTGAATGAGGAGCTCTGGTTGCCGATGTTGTGGATATCGCCTAACTCTGACTCTGACTGTTCCAGCAGATGGAAATTAATCTATTTGCCCTGTTGTTCGGGCACTTGGACGGCGTTGTGGCTAATCCTGAGCCGAATCATGCTATGCCTAGTAGCCTAGCCGATGTCAAGAGTCGTTAACACTGTTCGAGCGAGAAAGGATTACACCTGGCCTAGAGGCTAGATGGGATCTGGAGCCAATCTCGCCCACCATGGTCGGGCGGCGGTCGATCCTCAACGACTCTACTCCACGGATACGTACGTGATTGCTGCACTTCACCCGTCGAACGTGTGATGAGAACGTCATTGACCGACCTCCTTCGCTGCTCGTGCTACTGCATGGGCCCGCATGGTCGTGACTGACACTCCGAGGTACTCATTGTATGTAGGTACTCACAGTTCTCTTACGGACTAGACGGCCGATGCATGGACACTGGGCTTACTGACGATACTATGGCGGCTACTACTGTACATTCGTCCTCCGTCTAACTCATCTCAATCTACAGTCTACGGAATCCTCACTTGGGCGAGGCAGAACCTCGGTATCTACTGTACACCGCACTATCGGGGCCAGACAGAACTTCCCGGGGATTGGGCGCCGGATCTCCACTTTGACCTGTGCGTGGTGGGGTCATCTTCCAGACTGCATCGAATCTGCTTGCATCTCCAGCTCGTTCGGATCCGGATGGAGTCGGTCGGCTCATGGACTTCCCACTCACTAAGATACAACACTGACGTACCGGCTGTGCTGATCTTCCTCACAATCAGCTTGGAAATTTCACTCCGTTGACCCCCTCGCCCCCCCTCCCCCATTTCCGCTCGGCTTTTCAGAGTTTGCCCTGGCAATTCGTACCGAGAAGCCAGGCGAGCAGCAGCACACGGTCATTCCATCTCGCTTCAACGCTCGATCTCATCTTGGGCTTAGTGCCAGTGGGTCAAGCGTAAGGACACACCACCACGAACTCCACAGAGCGGGGCAGCGGCACTCGAAGCAATATGCCTGAGACTCCACGAGGAGACTAGGAACATCCTTTCATTCTTCAAAGTTCCCATCTGGGCATGAATTGTTTGGGTAGATTCATATCTTGATGACATCGGTGGTTTTGATCCCCGATGATCATTGACCCTCTCGGGGTCCGCCGAACTGTTTTAATCCTGGTAACTTGCATCCATCTGAGTCTGGGTACAGTACAATTTGGAGATTGGGAGGGGGGAATCTGCCAGATCAAGCATAGTTCCCTTGCTTGCCCATTGTATCACCAATCGAGATCGCCATGTGCTTTGCGGAACCTCTATACCAGATGGGTACGTGGTACTAACCGCTTTCTTCCCCTCATCCCCGATTCAGGACTACCCTTTCTCCCCTCACCAGTTCCAGCAACCCACAGGTGCACTGTCTACATGAGATTATATGGGACCCAAGCAAACTCAGTTCTGACTATCATCAATGAACCATGGTGTGACAAGCCGTCGACCATGTGGCTGTCCGTCCGCCCGCCCGCCCGTTTATTGTTTGTTTGTTGCCCGTTGCCCGTTCGGAGATTTATTGATTCTGGACGAAGTATCATCAACATGGAACCGGTCCCGACCACCGACCGACCCCCGACCTGCTCTCTCTTTCCTCTCTCTTTTTCGCCATTCAGTGCTCCACGAGGGAGAACTAGGTTAGCTTTCATTCGATCGGCCTGCACAGATCACATCACGCCGCTTACACACACACACACACAC